TCGCGCGTCAGCAGAGCGCCGGCTGCCGGCGGAAGGAGTGCACGGATTGGCTGAGCGAGCGGCGGCGCAGGGCGAGGCAAGGCCTCTTCCGCCCGGCCCTCCAGGCAATAAACTGTGCGACGGCCTCCGCCGAAGTTCCCATTTCAAGCCCGCGGGCTGCGGGCCGCCGAAATACCCGCCCCCAGAGAGCAACAGTCTCGGTGCAAACCTTTTCCCAACCGTGCGCTTCTTCCTGCGCGAATGCGCTGCGCAACCCTCGGCTTTGAGGTCCGCGGGACCTAGCCGCTGTCCATCAGGCTGCACGCAGTGTTCCGGGAAGGGGAGCGTCTTAAACCTGGTTCTGGAGAGGCTGCAGTATTTGAGGGCAAGTGGACCGGCTATTGCATTCCTAGTGTCATACTTCTGATCACTTAGGTCGTTGACCACGAGGTCCAATAGAACTGGTTCATCCTCATCTCTCCCCTCCATACCTCTGCCTCCTGCCTCCTGCATCTCTTGTCTGCTTTGATTAAGGATATGGCGCCGACCTGAGTCTCCCTCTGCATTTTTCCTTCCCTAGACAATCCAGCCTCTTATCCGAACTCATATCCTACTGCCAGATTCCAGGGGATGTGGTCCTGACCCCAAATTATCCTTCACTCTCTCCAAGCTCATTCTGACAATCTCTCTTTCTCTCTGTGATACTCTGATTCTTTCATGCTCTGGGTAAGATGATCTTTCGGAACCATAGGTCAGAGACTTCCTCCACCCAAATATAAGTGTAAACTCCTTAGTCTGACATTGAAAGGCCCAAGTTTCCTTTTTTCTTCTAGGTGTTCCAGCCATAAACAGACTTTCCTACAAATCCTAGAACCATGCCCCACCGAATTCTTACACGTGCTGATAGAAAGTCTATCCATTCCTCTTCCCACACAGCCCGTTGTGAGGCCCCAATCATTACTTCCTCTATAGACTGCTTTTAGAATATCAATTGTGTACTTGAAGAAGGAGCACTCTGAGGAAACAAAAGAGCGAGAAGCTAATTCCAGTCCTCTAGTATTCAGTGTCCACTTTCAGGATTAACATCACAACTTTCTTCTTGATAATGTTTATGGAATTTTACCTTCACAGCCGTTCCAACATTAAGAGATTTTTGAGAAGAGATCAACTATGGGAATGGACCCAGTAACTCCTTCCCTTTTCCAAACAACTCTCAGACGATCAAGTCCAAATGCTAAAGAACCTTGATATTCACCTGAACTTTGTGATATTTCAAAATGCTTCCTTTGGAAGTCACATTAGAAGTTTGGCTTTTAATTTCATTTTACATTTCACAGTCTACTGATAGATTGCCCCTTCCATCATCCCCTTAAACACCTTATCAGGGTGCCTGAGCAGTTTGGGTAAGAAAAAAAATTTTAATCATCCCTTGGAATTTTCACACAGGCTCTTAGAGAGGAAGTTGCACTTCCCCACTCTACCTTCTCCATGACCTCAAAGCAAACAGAAGAAATCTTTTTCTTAGGGCCACTTTAGCAAACTGACAAGAATGGAGAAGTTATAAAGAATATAAAATCCCTGCCTTCCAATGGATGGATCTTTGGTTGAGACAGTTGGCAAACTCGTCCCAGAAACCTGCTATCTTCCAGAGAAGAGCTTAATCCAAAGTAACTTTTGTTTGGAGAAAATTTCGCTTTGCTTCTGTTCTTACAAGCTGTGTGACCTACAGAAGTCACTCAGCCTGTCTCCTTTACCAACAATGTCATGCGCAAGTGTCCCCAAGCCCTCCCAGGTAATCAGAGTAACAGATGTCAAAGATGGATGAATTAGTTTTTCTGAGGACCTGCAGTGGGTGCTGTTAACTCCCTACCCAGATCCTTTCTGCTGGATGACTGGTCCATCCCCCCACACACACCTGCTGTGAGTTATAGCCACTAATAACCCACAGCAGGCCCTTTCTCTCAAGGGCTGTTCTTAGCTAAAGGGAACCTAATTTCCCACTGAGACCATACTCTTGCTTGACTCTTCACTGCCCCTGCCTCTCATTACCTTCTTACCCAGAACTCTCTCACAGTATATATGATGAACACCCGATTCTGCCACAATCCCTACTTCTGGGAAGACTGGCTTAACACAGTACCAGGAATGGTTCTTAGGAAAATATAAACATTAGATTCCAAGTAATAAATGGATACTAATAGTTGCTCCCACTTGAGGGGAACTATGGTCAGATGTGGGTAAAAAGGGGTGTGGTGGCCTATTAAGTCTCTCTAACGTTTGAAGATGAGGGGAGAACTAGTTATTAGAAATGTGAGATTGGGTACTTGTGCCTTTTTAAAAAGGGAAAAATGATAAGCTTCAGGTGATTAGTCATTAGTATAAAGCAAAGTGTGAAAGCAAGAGACCCTTGTACTCTACCTAACTGTTGTCACCTATAGACACAGGGCAGGCATCCCTGAGGACTAGGCTTGGGACTTATTTCAAAAGGAGCAGAACTTTAGGAATGATTGAATTCTTAGCCACAATCACTCTCCAACATGCCAGGGCTCTGGTAAGGAAGAGGAGACCCAAGACTTAACAATGAGAATCTAATATCAGTGAGACTTCAGCCACTCCCACTTGTTAGAGAATATGGCCACCACCCCAAAGGCTATGCATACAGCTTAGATGAGGCAGGTACTCTACAAGACAGTATATTCTCTGCCTCCATATGGCTCCTGGCTACCAGATCATTCACTAACACCAGGTCCCAGTATGACCTGACGAAATTTCAGGACTGCTAGGGGGAGGAATGAAACTATAAATTGAAGCAGCTACAGAATTAAGCTCATAAATACCAGCAGGAACTGCAAATAAGCCTGGGAATGGATCCCAAGAAGGCTAGAAGACTGGCAGAGATAGGGGAATAAATAAGGGTTGGTAGGAATATGGGCATTGTTCCATATTACACATATAACACTTCTGTCAAAGGTCCTAGTTCTGATGCACCATTGCAAAAGTGCCTGTTCTATGAAGCTGAGATGCCATGACTTTGTTGGTAGATAGTGGCAGAAGGCAACAGTGGGCTCAGAAGTGGACATGCTAAAAACAAGTGCTACCAGCTGACTCTTCCTTGACAAGGTCTGGGAGATACTTTATCATGACCACAGGGTGGGGACGGGGAGCAGAGTGAAGGCAGTACCAGCTTTGTTGAGAAACAGTGACTTGTGGTTGTGGCTGTCATCTGTGGGTCAGGGCTGAGACTAGGGGATGCCATTGTAGAAGTAGGCTCTCGTGTGGCAAGCAGGATGATAGGATCCCAGAGAAACAGAAGCCAGGTGGCAGCATTTACTCAGCAGAAGCAAAGTGAGCATGCTTGTTGCTAGGGCATCGGTGACACTAGTACCTGACTTTCAAGTGTCCACAGAGATGGCTACTACAACGTGGGGATGGTAGGCAGTCAACAAAGGCACAATACCTAGGTAATTGAAGGATGCATATCTTCCTATATAAAATTTGGATGCACAGTAGATAAATTAGATCAACTGTTCAAGTGGAAAGGAGCAGTCACCTGCCAAGTTTTCCCAAACTGAGTCAGTTCTCAGGTCCAAACGCCCATTCAGCAAAGGAAAAGCCAGATCTGTGCCACATATTAACCATAGTGATTGTCCAAATTTTTCCCAAAAGAACTCTGGCCATTTAATTTACTGGGTAACCATACACTAGGAAAAGGTACTACTCTGGTATCTCTAGGATTTTGGTTACAGTGTCCATTCATGTAGACAGATGAAGATCTTAAGCACCTCCAGGGCCCCCTTTATTGCTAGGGGTCAGGTGATACACTGAGTCCACTGGGTCATTATCTGGTTCCCAAATGCAGTATTCAAATAGTCATACTTAGGAGTTGCCAAAAAATATACATTGGTTCCCTGACTCAGAGAACAAGAGCTATTGAAGTAGGGAAAGGCAAGTGGAAGCCCCTGAACAGCTCTCTCTGTCAAAGAGAGTAACACTTGGGTGAAGAGCAGAGAATAGTGCTACCCTCAGAGTTGTACAGGATGCAAGGCTGGGAATTTCTACTATTTTTTTTTTTTTTTTTTTTTTTTTTTGGTAACAAAGATCAAACTCAGGACCTTGCGCTTGCTTGTGAGGCTGGTGGCAGCACCACTGAGCTAAATCCCTATTTTCATATTTAATCACCAGTGTGGCCACTGCAAACACTGGATGGATCAAGGAGGGTGACAATGAATTTATGCAGACATAATGAAGGCCTACCTTAATCTGCCACTACCCTTTCCATCCATTTATGATCTGTAACCACAACCAGGCCCTTTACCTCTTGTAGATTTTACTCATAATCACTATGAACAAAGAAGAAATAATAGAAATGCCTAAAATAGATTAGACACAAAACATATCCCAAAGAAGTACCTATCACATTTTACCACAAAAAAAGGCAAGGGAGGCAAGGAGGGAGAAAGGGAAGAGTACCTTCCTTGCACTCTTTAAGAGTGCTCAGATGACACTATCAGGAGACTTGTCCCTGCAGACCACTTGGGGAGACAGTCTTCAGAGGGTGCTGTTTATAAACAGACTAGGTATAAAACCAGGCTGGCTTTTATGAGTTGGATTCTTCAAGTCTTGCTTTAGACTGCAAAGAAATAAAAGGCTATTTTAATTTTTCAGAGCAAATAATAATAATTAACATCCTTCCCCGCAAACCAACAGAAGATACTAAAGCCTGAAAGTTTTCCAGGCAGGTTACATTTGTCTTTTGAGGAGCACGGTCTCTTGAAAGGAGCCTGAAGCTGTACAATACCTGCTCCAAATCTAAGACCCCTAGCTGCTCCTTAAGGATTCCAAAATATTAACTTGCATCTCAGAATGTGCCATGTATTGGAAATGCTGTACCTATTTTCCAGAGACTACTTTTGGGAATCCAGAGCTATGCATAATTGGTTATCCACAATGTCACCATGTTTCACGCAAGGAAATAAAAGCAGGGCCCAGTGGGTGGACTTAACTTGAAGTAAATGGCGTTCAGGAAAAGTTTTGCAAATGAAGTGACACGTGAGATGGGGCCTCTTCAAGATTAAGTAGTATCCTCCCCCCGCAGGCAAATAAAGGCTGCCAGCATTTCAGGACCAAATGACAACTGGAAGCAAAGTGTGTCTTTCAGAATTCCATTGCCCTTGGATTTTGTGAGATGTGCAGAAATGAAGATTAATAATTCAATGATAACAAGGACAGGGTTCAGCAGATAGTGTGATTCAGTACATTTAGGGTTGCAAAGGAAAAATAGATGTAAGTCTGGCTAGCTGAACTTATATAAGGAAAAAATATCACTTCCTAATATAAGTAATAGAAATCTATTCCTGATCAATTCACAAACAAGAATGTGTGCTATCTTAAACAATGATTAAATGCAGTACTGAAAGTTTTTCTACTGGCACATGACCATCAAACCAAGCTGTTTTTACCTGAAAGACAAATTACCTTTATTTGCATGTTATACATGTATCTGTGCAAAAGAACATGAGCACTTCACATGTGCTTACCTGAGGCACTAAATTTTAAATATTATATATTATAGGAAAATGGTTGTTTAAAGGAGATTAAAAACTCAATTTAATATAAATATACTTAATGCCACTGAACTGTATATTTTTAAATGGTTAAGATATCAGATCCTGTACGTATCACCACAATAACGAATCCTGGTGCTGGGGGTTTAACTCAGTGGTTCTGCCACTTGCTTCACAAGCGCAGGGACCTAAGTTCAATCCCCGGTACCAAAAAAACAAAACAACAACAACAAAAAAAAAGCCAGGGAGGCTGAGACATTAGGATCAAAATTTTGAGCTACGGATGTAGCTCAGTGATGCCTGCCTCCTAAGCACAAGGTCCTGAGTTCAATCCCTGGTAAAAAAAAAAAAAAAAGGATCAAAACTTTGACCTTACACTGGGCAACTTAATAACTTAAGAAACTATCTCAAAATATACATACATGTATATGTACATATAAAATATACACAGTGTTCCCCAGTACCGAAAATAAATATTCACATACTACCAATATCTATAAAAAACAATGAAAATAATCTTAATCATAGGTGCAGAGAGGGGAGACAAAAACAGCAGAGGGAGGAGAGAATAATGGTCTGAAGTATGTAATGGGAGAACTGTGTCCTAACACAGGATCACATCAGAGAATGTGACTTTATTTTGACCCAGGGACCTTACAGAGGTAACCAAGTTAGTCTTTAGGGTGAGTTCTAATTCAATGACTGGTGTCTCCAAGGGAAAGGGGAATTTGGACACATGACCACAGGGACAAGTCCACATGAAGGTCAAGGAAGAAATCAAGGCATCTACAAGCCTGCATGTGTATTTTTATGTTCTGTATTTTATGTTTTTTAGACATCTTGTGCAGCATGTTGGCTTGGGAGAAATTCCCTATGTATAGCTGAGTTTTCTGGATAGCAAACGGCTGATCCAAACACATGAATTTCCTAAAAAACAAAACAAAATTAAAAAACCCAACCAACCCAAGAAATGATCTCAATCACTTACTTATCTAGATATTTCTCCTGCCCTAAACCATTCAGGCCCAAGTGCAAACATCTAGAGGCCTCCCAATAACCAAAGCCCAGTGAAATTATTGCAATCCGCCATTTTTAGCTGTTACTCTGATCTGGCTTGCTTTTTCTTCACAAACCCAATAAAAGCTGTCATTCAGATTTCCCCTCAGTCTCATCTGCTGTGTGACCCAAACCAGATGCTTGTGCTTGGGTCTACCTGGCAAGGGCAACCTCTTGCTTGAGACCTGGTGTTACATGACTTCTTCCTCCCAATGCTCATTGTTGCCCCATCTTTGGAACACAAACTCCTAACATCCTATCTTTACATCTACCCTCTTAGAACGCTACAGATATTCATAGACTTGAGCTGGGAGAAAACAGGGTGGCAAGCCTAGTGTCTCACTCACCTTAAGGAGTTGGTGACAAAAACTGCACACTCAAAAGAATTTTACTAAAGTAGGGAGATTCAAGGGGTGAAGGCCAATGAGGGGCCCTTCCCACCAGGATCAGAGATCTTCAGATCCCACTGATATTGATCAGTCGTGGTGGCAGCAAAAATTCCTAGGAGCAAAGATGAGGTATTGTTATTAGGAAAGGATATTTATGCCAGCTAACACTTGAGAGATGACTATGTCCCAGGAATCTCTTCTCAATGTTTTAGACATGCCCTTTTACTATTCTCCACAGGCCTATGGAGTGGATGCCATTATTTCATTTTACAGGCTAGAGGTGAGGTACAATGTTCTTGATCAAAACATTGTGGATGAATGGAAGGATTTTCTAAGCAAATGGGCTTGGCCCTGACTCATGGTAAAGGAGAAGGGTGCATGCAGTTCTGGATGCCAGAAGCCCTCAGGTGCTATAGAAGGAAATGGCAGGACATGGGTCCAGCTTACTTCAGAAGCTGAGAAATGAAAAGTTGTCAGTGAGACACAGTTGGTTCTGCTGCCTTCTGGTGAAAACTATGGTTTGGCTAGTGGAGGATATTGTGATCTGTAAAGAGGACCTAATTCAAGTATAAGTTACTTATAATTTCTTTCTTTTGAAACACTTCCACTTCCATTCACCCAGGTTCTTCCCCCATTTGATCATACTTCCTCTTGGCTCTCCCTTGCATGGGCAACTTCCTCTCTGAGACCTGGAAGTAGATAAATGTCTTCTAAGCCCCCACTTTTGTCCCCTCGTAGGCATGCAAACTCTCTTTCTATCTCCAACAGGTATACTGTAGAACACTGCAAGTTTCATGGACTGGGGTGGTGAAAAAACAGAAGAAAAGCTAAGCCAAGTGTCTCACTTGCCTGAAGGAGTTGGTGACAAAAACTGCACCCTTGTGGGCTGGGGATTTAGTTCAGTGGCACCGCGCCTGACTTGCAAGTGCAAGGTCCTGAGTTCAATCTCTGGTACCCTCCCAAAAAATTGCACCCTCAGAAGGACCTCCACAAACAGGGAGATATAAGAGGTGAAGCCTCTTGGGGTTCTTGCCCAGCAACAGGATCAGAGACCCTCTGACCTAGGATGGATGTTGATCAGTGGTACTGGCAGGAATCAACCTCCTAGGAGCAAAAATTAAGTGCTATCATTAGGAAAGGATATTTAGGCCAGGTAACGTGAATGATGACTATGACTCAGGCATCTCTCAATGTTTCAGACATGTCCTTTAGTATTCTCCACAGGACTATGGAGTCATGCCACCGCTACTTCCATTTTACAAGCTAGAGG